CCTCCCCAGGTCCTCCCCAGGTCCTCTCCAGGTCCTCTCCAGATCCTCCCCAGCTACTCTCCAGGTCCTCCCCAGATCCTCCCCCAGGTCCTCCCCGATCACCTCTCCAGGTCCTCCCCAAGTCCTCCCCCAAGTCCTCCCCAGGTCCTCCTCCATCACCTCCCTAGATCCTCCCCAGGTCCTCCCACGGGTCCTCCCCAGGTCCTCCCCCAGGTCCTCCCTGACCCCTCCCGCCAACCCCAGCAGCCATCCCGGCTCTTGCTGGACCCTGAACGGCAGATGACCTGTTTAGGGAGGACATATCCAGTAAGATGAGCCCAGCAGGCTGCTCCCAGACAGGAGAGAGTGGGGGCCTGGCTTGGGGGCCTGGCTCAGAGACCTGGTGGTCTTAGCCAGAAATGTCCCCTAGGACTCAGGACAAGAGCAGAGCAGTTCAGAGTCACAGGAAGTCACAAGTGCCTTGCTCACCAGGTGGCAAGTCCTACTCAAGAAGTAGTCCATCTGAAGTTATTATTTATTTTTTTATCCCTTTGGGATTTTCAAAAATGTTCAATAATTTATCCAAGTGATCAGCTGTTGTTGAAAAGTAGGAAAATGTAGCCACAGTGGTTTGGAAATGTCCTCTTATTTATTGAGTTCTAATTATAAAGCTATTAAGGGGTTTATTTATTTATTGTTGTGGTATTAGGGGTTGGATTTGGGGGTTGCTCTACCACTGAACTACATCTCTAGCCCTTTTTATTTTTCTAAACTTTGAGATGGGGTCTTGCTAGGTCACTGAGGCTGGCCTCCAACTTCTGATCCTCCTGCCTGGGTCTCCTGAGTAGATGAGATTATAATTGTGTTACTAAGGAGTCTTAAGAGGGAAGAGCAGGTAGCCTTGGGTTCAAATCCCAGATCTGCCCTTCAGAAGCTGTGTGGGAGTCCCGTCCCTCTCCAAACCCTTCTGATTTGGAAAATGGAACTGCAGCATCCCTTTCAGTAGTATTGATGTGGAGTTCATGGAGATCTCAGCAGCAAACACCACGCACAGAGACTCAGCCAACTACAGTCAGAACCCGTTCCATCCTGGTATTTATTTATATTTTTTTCATCTTAAAAACTAGCCTCACCGTTTGTTTACTATCATTCAAGCCCAAACCCAGGAGTCACCTTGAACAGCTGCCTTCCTGCTCTCCCAGGGCAGAAGCATTTGCAGATGGCGCCACTTCCTGTGTCCTCCCTACGCCGCCATTTCTGGGCTCCCCACTTCCGTTCCCTCTTACTCGCGGTTGCCGCCTGCTGGGCTCCTGGCCCTGCTCCCTGAGTGGCCCCCAGCTCCCTGCTCCCCTCCACTGTCCACTCACCCCAGGGAGCCCGTCGGCCGCCTTCCCTGCTCAGAAGCCTCCAGTGGGGGCTTAAAACCCGAGTCCTGCCAGGGCCCCAAGGCCCTTCCTGGCTTTGCACGCTCTGCCCTCCGGGCCTCACCGCCTGCTCTTCCCTACACTGGGCAGAGCAGCTCTGGGTCATCGGAGGCCCCCTTGACCGCCTGGATGACCCCCTGCAGCCCTCACTCTCTGGCCCCTGGTCTGATCCACAGGGTTTTCAACTATCTGAAATTCCTATCCAATCATGGTTGTCAGGAGCCTGGAGCCCGAGTCCCTCCAGGGCGAGGACCATCTCTCTCCTCGGTCCTGGTTTTCCCAGCTCCTCTAAGGCTGCTCAATCAGCTGTGAATATGAAAGGAACTCGGAAACGTCGCTTCCCCCAGGAAGCCACCCTGGATTTCCCAGGGCGCCTGGTGCCCATGTGTGCTGGCTGGTGGGACCCACTTGAGCCTAATCGACTGAGGGTCTCCAAGAGGAGCTGTAGGGGAGGGTCTGCCCTGTGACCGCAGGGGCCTGGACCTCCTGCTCAGGAACAGGCCGGTTGGTGAACCAGCAAGAGGTCAGGGCCAAGAGTGAACCAATTCTCAAAATCGGGAAGAAATTCCAAGCCTGGACTCCGGTGTAGTGACAGGAGACCCGTCCAGCAAGAATCTGCATTGTAAACTCAGAGCTCCCGCAGGGCTGCTCACCAACCCAGCACCAGGTGGCTGCCCCGTAACCACCTGCCCTCCATCCTTGCAGCCTGCCAAATGGCTGGCCAATATCCTGGGGTCACCTGGGGAGGCAGGGGTCCCTGACCGCCAGGTGGCTGAGTCCAAGGAGGAACAAGAAGGAGAAGCCAAACCCTGGGGCTCCCCTGGACTGGGGTCCAGAGTCCACCCTGGAGCTCTGGGTAAAGAGCAGACTTGTACGAGAACGGTCCACCTGGCTCTCCTGGCTGTGGCCTTGGACTCCTGAGTCATGGGTTCAAATCTCGGCTCTACCTAGTCGCGGGGAAGCGAGCTTGGGCGAGTCACGGTGCCGTTCTGCGCCCGGCTTCTTCCTCTGTGGTGGGGATGTCGATGGTACCCATCCCAGGATGCTGGAGTGAAGCGGGGGCGGTCTGCCGAGCGCTGAGGACCTGGGACCCGCCCAGCAGGGAGCAGGAATGCCTGGGGCTTGTTTCCTGTCATCCATTCACATGGATTTCCCGTAGCTCAGCCTCGGGAGCAGATCATCACCACGGGCATCTTCAGGGGTTTGACCTCACTACCAATTCAAAAGGCGATGCTTCTAGACTCGGTCCGTCAACCAGAACATATTTAGTCCTGAGAGACAACAAGAAAGGAAGCATTTTGGGTAGGTGAGGCCAGCCAGAGCTCAGGCTTCATCCCATGCCCCTAACCCCCTCCAGTCTCTGTCCTGCCTCAAAGATAAACTTTCTTTCTTTGGTCCCAGGAATTGAAACCAGGGGCACTCAACCACTGAGCCCCACCCCCAGCCCTATTTTGTATTTTATTTAGAGACAGGGTCTCCCTGAGTGGCTTAGCACCTCGCCCCTTGCTGAGGCTGGCTTTGAACTGGCAATCCTCCTGCCTCTGTCGCCAGGAGGATGTCACCAGGTCACCATGAATCTCCTGTCCTGAAGAAGCCACCCTGGCTTGAAGGGGTGCAGAGGCCCCTAAATTCCAAGGTGACACCCCTCCCTTAGGACGTGCCCCTGCGTCTCTTCCTGTCCCTCGGAGTCACCCCGACGGTTGATCTGCAACGTGGCTCGGGCCCGGAGCTCTGGGCTTGCTGAGCGGGGACAGGGGCCACATCCCCAAGGAGTGTTGCCCACAGAATTGGTTCAGAGACGACGGTGGTCCTGGAGGCGAGAGGGTGGGCGACCGCAGAGGTGTCACTTAGTCTGTACGGTGAAAGGAAATGAAGACCAAGACGGAGAGCGGGCAGCCCAGTGTCTGACCCTGAGCCGGTTTCCAGACTTGGGACTCCCTGGCTGGGAGGGGCTGGGTCTCCAGGAGGAAGTCCAGCAGGTGGACAGGACGGGGATTGTCTGGCCCTGCCCCAAGAAACCCATCTCCACTGACTGGAGTGACTGCATTCCTGAGCACGCGAGGACCAGCAGACGCGGGCAGGAGTCCTCTGTGAGGGAGGAGCGGACGGGAGCCAGGTCCCGCTGAGGGTGGGTCCACTGGGTCCCTGGATGAACTCAGCACCGTTGCCTGACCCCCCAGTTTGCAGTGGGCCTGCTCAGGTGGCGCAGGGCTCAGAGTGTGCAGAGCACCCACACTGGTTCCTTAACAGTGTGCAGGATCCAGATGTCCAGATGTAGGCTTCTAAAACTGTCCCCTCTGCCCAGCTAAGAGTAAACAAAAGGACAACTCTGTATCCCAGGGAGGAGAGGGGATAGCAGCAATTAGTGCCACTTCTAAAGGATGCGGGGGCCGGGTGTCCCCATAACATTTCCCTTTAACTCACCAGCCTCACCAGCCCAGCCCCGGTGGAAGCCACAGAGGTCCCGCAGGGTGGCAACGGACCCCTCCTTGCACCCTTCCTCAGACGGTGGCTACGATTGCAGCTGTTGTGCCCGATGAGGTTCCTCTGCTGGACAAGATCACCATGACCATCAGGAAATGACCCGTGACCACGAATGTGTTCTTTTCTGTCTGTCCGTCAGGAGCAGTTTGCATTGACCTGGAAGGGTCAGCAGTGGACACTCACAGACTCGGCCCAGGGCTGCATTCCTTCTTCTACCTTCTGCCATAAACCAGTCCACGGATGACTGGCTGTCTGGACCTCTGCAGAGCGCGGCCTTGGTGTCTATGCCACATTAACGGACCAGAGGAGTGAGAGGCACACATCCACCAGGAGCCTGGGATCTGCCCGCTCGGAGGTGGCAGGCGAGTCCCGGGAGGTTCCAGAGCTGCACTCATGCGGCCTGAGAGCCCAGCCTAGTCCTGGTCTGGACATTCCTGCTAACGTCAAGGGGAAAGCACCACAGAGGCAGAAGGTCAGCGCCAGGCAGGGCTTTTCCGGTCCCAGAGGCAAGTGACGTGAAAAGCCATCTCTGAGTGGGGACCCAAGCAGGAAAGCAGCCAGGCCAGGCTGGGGTGCAGGAAGCCCCTCCGCTGCCCAGAGAGCCCCACGGGCCCTGTGGTCGGGCAGCTCTCCATGGTGGGAAAATGCTTCGTGGACTCAGGCAGATCCCAACAGAAGAATCTCAGCAGAGACCTCTGAAGGTCAGGGGCAAGGTCGTGCTCTCTGAGGTGGAAAAGCATACACCCTTCAAACAGCCTCTGGAGATAGAACCCGGCCACGGGACACCACTCTCCACACAGCCGGGGCTGCCCGTCACTGGCTGAATTCAGACACTGTCACATTTACAGAGCATTCACTGGGCATGACCCAGGTCCCACATCATCTGCCACCCTCATACTGTCACCTGTCCCTTGGCTTTCACCTGTGTCCATGCATCGGGTCCCTTATAACCAAATGACAGAGGGAAGCTCAGGATGGGTTGGCTTGCCACGTGTGAGCAGATGGCAGTGGGCGGGGGCTGCCCACTGCCCACTCGGGTTCGTCTTGAAAAACAGTGTCCAGGGGTCATTCTCCGGGTGGGTAGAGCTGTGGGCGGGAAGCTGGTCACCCACTCGGCGCAGAGGAAAAGTGGCCCAAGGTTAGAGTCCATACAGACTCCTGGACACTGGGGAATGGCTTGGCTGTTGTCCTGGGGACCAGAAGGAGAGAATTTGGAAGATTGAGAACAAAGTAGGGAAGAAACTCGTGAATAGATTTCCAAGTCAGTCGTGAAGCCCAGAACCCTTCTACTGCCTGTCAGTGGCCAGAAGGGACAGTCCACAACCACGCAGAGACAGCGGCTCAGCGGGGTTGCCAGCCAGCCTGTCCCCCGCCACCGCAGAGCCGGACTGGAACTTGGACCGAGCCGCCAGGGGCGGGTGGACCTCCTGCCGCCGAGTGAGTCACGCCGTTGCTCAACTCCCAGCTCCAGGAAGGAGGCCCGGCCGGGCCCTGCTGTGGCCTCTTCCCTCAGCTGGCCCAATGGCCACTTGGTGGGAAGTGATGGCCATGGACTCTTTCCACCCTGGAACCAGCAGAGATTTTTCTCGTCTAGAAGTGACCCATGGTCAAGGGGTGAGTTTCTGTTTTCTTCCCTCCCCCAGGGCCTCAGCCCATGTCACCTCCCCCCGAGAGGGAACAGTGCGTTCACCCACCACCCAGGGCACTGAAGAAGGCTGCCCGGGACCAAGGGACAGAGTAAAGGACGGACAGACCCCTTCCCCTATCTTCAGAGTGACCGTCCAACCCCTGCACCCCTCTCAAGGTTCCTCTCTGTCATCTTCTAAGGAGAATCTCCTGGGAGTCTGAGCCCCTTCAGATGACACGGGCTGGTCTCCTGTCCCAGAAGCCATAACTCAATTGCACCTTCAAAGTCCCTGGGGCCACGTAAGGTGACCACAGATCCCAGGGAGTTAAGATGCGGGCATCTCTGAGGGAAGGACACCCCCTGACGGCAGAGCCAAGCCCAGCCCGGCCACAGTGCTCACCCGGCTGAGCATCGAGCCCCCCGAGGTTCCTTCCCACGGGGGGGCTGGGCGGCCTGGTCTCGGCCAGGACAGAGAGCTGTCAAAGGCTCATGGCACGACACCTCTGGGTGGCCCACGGTCCACCTCCAGTGAGGAGGCCAGGCTCAGCGAGTACAGGGACACTGCTGCTTCTGAGGGCCGAGCTGCAGTAGGGGTCACCTCTCAGGGCCTCCTTCTTCAGCTGGACAATGGGGATGGTAGAGAGGACGCCTCCCTCACAGGGTGCCACATGGGGGCCTGCGTGGATGCTGGGTGCTGATGGTCACCTGGTGCCAGGCCCAGGGCAGTGCCCAGTGCGTGCTGGCCACTGAGGCTGAGAGGGCCATCCAAGGTGCTCGCTCCCCTCCCGAGGACAGAGCCCGTGCTGCAACAAACAGCCCCCAGCCACCGCCCGCCTCTCCCAGCCGCTCTGTGCCTGCGTGTGACCGCGTGACTGTCAGGCGACAGAGAGAAGTGATGGCGTTGGCCCTTCGACACCTCCCGCCACCTCCCAGTCCCCTCTCTCCTGTCTGCCGGCTGAATGACACACTCACCAACCCTCTGCTTTGGGGTCCCGTGTCCACAGCAGCAGAGAACCTGGCCTTCACTGACAGGGACGTGACGGCTCCTCAGCCACCCCCGCCCCCCGCCGAGGACCCAGCCCAAGGAACACCAGTGACATGAAGCCCAGAACGAGACTCCGCTAATCCTGGGGCCCTCAGGTCCCAGGGCTGACCCTGTTGGGACCGTTTGGGGCACACAGGCTGAGCGTGTACCTGGGACGAAAGGACCTATCAGTCACCGCAGCTACAGGTGGCTGGCGCGTCCCACGAGTGGACACGTCCTGTGCTCTATCTCACTGACCCCCATGAGGCGGGTGCCAAGTTCATTCCACTGGACCCAGGAGGGACCTCTGTAAAAACTTCACAGAGGTTTCAGGTTGGCCTAGGGCCACACAGCGACAGAGCAGAGGGACTCAAGTCTGGGGCGTCCAATGCCAAGCCACACGCTCAACCTGTGTGGCTTCTGTCCCCTGGAGGTGGCAGGAGCTAAGAGGGTTGCGGACCCGCAAAGGAGATTTTAATTTGAACAATGGACAGTTCCCTGGGACCTGGCTGACGCCTCCCATTAAGATGCTCTAGAATCAGATTTGCATAATGGGTCGAGAAGGTCGTTGGGAAAAGGGCCAAATCCATAACCCTGGGCCACGGAGTCCACAAGTGGGTTAGAAGACACAGAAAGGAGGCGACCTGACCTCTCTTCCGCTCTACCCTAGCCAGCGACAGCCCTCAAGTTTCTTGACCTCCAACAAAACAAAACCACAAAACTTACCTATTCCAGATTTGAGGATTTATGGGTTCACAGTTAAATGATCTGATAGATATTAAGAAAACTGGGAATGTCTTTGGGTCCCAGATCCCCTTCGAGCCATCTAGAAGGGTCTGTGTTTCTTAGCAAGCCTCAGTAACGTGGCCTACTAAGATCTGCCTCCACTTCCTGTTGCCACGACACAGCTCAGGGACTGTGTGGCCTTGAACAAGCAGTGAACAGATTTGGTTCAACTGTCTGCGGGGTTCTGCGATCTGGTTTGGGTTCGGCCGACCTCGGCTGGACTGGCTCGTGCATCTTCAGTCAGTTGTGGGTTGTGTGGACGTCCTGCTGACCTTGACTGGGCTCACACCCGTGTCTAGTGTCTCAGTTGGTCTGGGATGGCCTTGTCCAAGGTCACTGGGCAGTTGGGTCTGGGTGCTAGTCTCATTCTCCAACAGGACAGCCTGAGCACATTCTCAAGGCAGGTTAATCTATACATTAAGTGTTGTAAGAGATGAACAATAATAACTAAAAATAAAAGAGAGCAATTTTAACAATTGCTCCTGTGTTTTGAGACCATTTTTGAAGTGAAGTAAGGATTACTTGAACACAGCACAGCAACACCATGACAGTTAATCTACTAACGGAGATGGCTGCTAAGTGACTAACGGGAGGGTAGTATACACAGCATGGATACACTGAACAAAGGTCTGATGTATGTCTTGGGTGGAACAGAAGGGGACGGCATGAGATTTCATCATACTACTGAGGACAGCATCAATTTCAGACTTATGAATTGTTTATTTCTGGAATTTTCCATTTAATATTTTCAGCCTGTATTTGACCATAGGTAAATGAAACCATTGATAGTAAAATCGTGGATTAGGAGGGGGCTACTGTGTCATCTTGAATCCTCCAGCACATTTTCATCCTGTCCCTGATTTAGAACCTCAGAGAGGTAAAGTCATTTACAGAAAGTCACACAGTGGGTAAACATCAAGAGCTAAGATTAGAATTTCCTGACAGCTGAGTGCATTAGGCAATCTTTCTATACTAGCACGTGGCTTGACGTGCAGCAAATATTCTTATGACTCATTTTGAGAATGTATCATAACAATCGTAGACGGTTTGGGATTTTGATAGTTTGTTAGTGTGAACATTTTAAATATAAAATTTTGATAAAATCGATCATCCCCACATAACAATAATCACAGTACTACTAATAATAACTTATCAAAAACACCACGTGACAAGCACTGTGCTAAGAGCATAGTTACGTTGGGCACAGTGGCACATACCTGGGGGCTGAGGCGTGTTCAAGGCCACCCTGGGCAACTTAGTGAGACCCTATCTCAAAATGATAAGGGCCTGGGCGGCAGCTCAGTGTAAGGTGCTCACCTACATGTGCAGGGCTCTGGGCTCCCTCCTCAGTGCTGCAGAAAAACCGACCCCAGCTCCCACCAGCCTCACAGCTCATTTATCTCATAAGCAACCGTCCTGTGAGATGGGCGCGATTTCCCCTGTTTTATGGATGACCTGGGAGGAGGCTGACCTGGGCTCTAGCCAGAACTCATGCTTCCAATCATCCTGCTAAACCGTCCCCCTTCTTTGCTGTGAAATAGAATTGGATGTGTTTGGGGGGCACCCTGGGGATGGCCAGCCGTGCCCCCAGGAGCCCCCCATCCCTTTCATCTCCTCGGTCAGGTGTGGGAGCCCCTCGGCGGGATGGATGGGGGGGCGGGGCGCGAGGGTCTGGTGCACGGCGAGGCTCTGAGGCTGCAGCAGGAAATCATGCCGGGGAGGTGGGGGCTCCTCGCTGAGAGCAGGCACTGGCCGTGGGGACCGGCTTCTTGGCAGTGCAGCCTCCAAGATGGATGGCCGTGGCCTTCAGGGCTGGACAACCACTTCTCAGGCCTTTGATGCTGAAAGCAGAACAAATGGGCGCCGGCCGCCCGGCCGCAGCTGCCTCTCATTAGGGCCCGCTTCCTCCAGCCCAGGACAAGGGGAGCCCTCGGGGGACGCCAGGGCAAACGCCAGATGTGTCCGCCACAGCTGGCTGCAAAACCTTGCTCTCCACTTCTCTCCCCAGCCGCTTCCCAGCCCCCACCCGACGTCCCCGGGTTGTCGGAATCTGAAGCCACCTTGGTCCCCGTCTCATCCATCAACAAATCCCATCGGCTCCGATTCCCAGTCCCCTCTTCTCCACCGAAGTCCCCGAGTCCAGGCCACATTGGGTCCCCCCAGGCAAGGGCAGAGCCTCCATTCGCAGGTAGAAGTCCTGCCTCCCCCTACTGCAGGGCGGACCTCGTAGGGATAGGCTCACTGCAGTTGGCCAAGGTGAGTCCCATGACTAAACCCATGTGACCCGTGTGACAGCTGAAAGGGGAGATGGAGGGGAAGCCGAGCGGAGGGTGCCCGCTGGTCCCAGCCCGCGGGAGGCTGAGGCAGGAAGATGGCTGGAGCCTCTGGGGTTGGGCATCACAGGGAGACCCCAGCTTGACAGACAAAACAAAGAGATGGGGAGCGGTGGGGTCGAGGCCTCCAAGGGACAAGGAATGCCAAAGATGGCCCGCACCGCAGGGGAGGGGGGGCCAGGTGTCGACGGATTCTCCCTCCTGGCCCCTGGGAGGAACCAGCACTGCTGGCTCCTTGAGCTTGATTTCTGGCCCCCAGAAGCGTGAGCCAATGAGTTTCAGGTGCTCTAGCCATGCGGTCGGGAGTGCTTGTTACAGCAGCCGTAGGCAACTCGTACGCCTCCAACCGCAGTCTCCGACTCCACTCAGGCCCCTCCCACCTCACGACCCTCCCCAGAATGTCCTTCTCTGTTTGAGGCTCCGCCCAAGCTTCCCGGGGCCTCCCAGCCATGCTCCCAGCCATGCTCTCCAGCTGACACCACTGGTGGGGGACAGGAAGGGGATATAGATGACAGGAAAGGACAAGGAAAGGCTAGGAACTTGTGCCCAGCTCTGAGAGGAGGGGACAGTCCCCCAGGGCTCTGAGGTTTGGGTGTGACAGCCCAGACTCTCACCCCGTTCTTCCCCAGGGCCTTGGGTGACCTCCAGCGCGTCTCGGGGATGGTGACGTGGGCCTCAGCCTGCCCCTCAGGGAGGGGTCAGTACCTGACCTCATCTAACCTTCCCGTCCCTGAGGTAGGTGTCGTCCCCAGGTCAGGTGCTGAGAGGGCAGATGGGCTGGGGGTGGAGTTCCGTCCAGGGCCAGCCAGCGCCCAGGGCCAGCCAGCGCCAGACGGCAGAGCCTCGCGCCAGCTCTCTGGCTCTAGAATTCACGTCTGAGGCCACGGTGTCTCCGAGGGCCTGAGAAGCTGCCCCAGGGACAGTCCATGTCCCCACAAAAAGGAGAGCAAGGCAGTTGTCCGTGGAGCAGCGTCAGGAGACCCCAAGTCCCTGTGCGGCGCGATTCCACGGAACCTTTCCAAATGGCACCGTCCACCGTCTTCCCATGGGTGGGAAAAGCCGCATAAGCACTCACAGTATGTGGCCGCGTCACAGGTCCCCTGCTCTGTGGCTTCCACAGGAGAAACTGCAGCCACACTAGCTACCTGCCATAGCCTTTGGGCTGTCCCCAGAGGCAATGCCCCTGTTCTTGGGGAGGGGGAGAAACAGCTGGGGTGACTGTGGACTTGGTTGTCCCTGTGGAGATGCCCTCCCCTGAACAGGGCTCTGTGATTTCAACTTCATAGCAGCCGAAAGGTTAGAAAAACAAAAATAAAAAGTACAAAAGGTTAATAAGCAATATCACATACTCAATATGACTGGAGCAAAGCGTTTTAAACAGTTTATAATTGGTTTAGCCTAAATTTTTTTTCTTTTTTTACAGGGACTGAGCCCAGGGGTGCTTAACCACTGAGCCACATCCTCAGCCCTGTTTTTGATAGGACAGGGGGCGGGGGAGTACCTGGGATTGAACTCAGGGGCACTGGACCACTGAGCCACATCCCCAACCAAATTTTGTATTTTTATTAGAGACAGGGTCTCACTGAGTTGCTTAGGGGCCTCACTAAGTTGCTGAGGCTGGCTTTGAACTCACGATCCTCCTGCCTCAGCCTCCCGAGCCGCTGGGATGACAGGTGTGCGCCACCATACCTGCAACATCACAGCTTTTAGACATTAATTCCTAATGGAGGCTACAGGTGATTAATGGGAAATCTCCAAATACCGATTCCCTGTCACCTCAGAATAACGATTACTGTGGGGCACCAGGCCCGGGGACCCAGATTCTTAAGCATCTGCTTCTCTTTAGCTCTTGAACAACCCGCGTGGTAGGTGGGAGCAGTTCCTTCCCGTTTTACAGAGAAGAGAACTGAGCCTGGTGGCGAGGTGAGCCAGGGACTCGGGCCAGGTCTGCAGACCGCGCCATCCATCACGCTGGGCCTTGACAAGCTGATAAGTGACCTCTTCATGAATATGTTTCTCGGTCACTTTCTCAGCCCTTTGACATTTCCCGCCTCTCACCAGCAGGGACTGTGGCCCCACCTTTAAATGGCTCTCATTGCTCTGGGAGGGGCCTGTCACTGGGTGCGAGTCTGAGCCGTCTGGGAAGAGGCTCTTGAACTTGGACTGCAGAGCTGGGGGCGCAGCGGGAAACTTTGTCCTGGATGGGGACTCTCTGGGGTCCCATCTGATGGCCCTTTGTGCTGGGTTGGGGCTGCAGAAGGACATGTCCTGCTTCCCAAGGAGAGGGTGAGGAGCAGCCTGCTGTCCCAGCAAGGTGACAAGAAGGGGTGCCCCAGTGCCGTCAGCAGGGTGGAGACCCCTGCAGAGGGCGGGGGGTGGCAGGCACTCTGGGAGTGCTGAGACCCCTCCTGCCCCACAGCCTAGGGGACCCTGGACTCAAGTGGGCCCAAAGACAGGGAGGCAGGGCCAGGTGGGAAGGGGAGAGTCCAGCTGCCGGGAGCCCCAGGAGGCCCAGCTGCTGACCCTGACCCTGAGTGGAGGCCGAGAAACTCGCAGCCCTGGGGTGACTGAGGTGTGCGGCACCAGCAAAAACAGGGGTCCACCTAGAACGTCACAGAGAAAAGTTTTAAAAAGTTACATCTATTTCCAACCTGAGTTTCACAGCTCGTGACACTTAGACCCGCCTCACTCCCCCTCTGCCTTGTGCTAGCTGCTTCCTGCCAGAAGGTCAAATCCACGCACACGCACCCATACACACGCACACGTGCACGCACACACCCTCCATGTACAACGTCTATGGCTCGGGGGTCTCTCTGACCCGGCACCCCCCCCCGAGGTATGCACATGTCCTTGTCCTTAGAACACGTAGCAGGGCAGAAGGAAGGTTCGTCTTGGTCGGGTTGCGCTGCTATAACAAAACGCCCGAGACCCCGCGGCTTAAACAAGGGACATTTATTTCTCACTGCTCCGGAGGTTGGAAGTCCAAGATCCAGGCCCCGTAGGGCTGGTGTCTGCTGAGGACCCCCTTCCTGCCCGGAGCTGGGGGGTGGGGGTGCCGGGGGCTGTCTTGGGGCTGTGGCTGAGGAGGAGAGGGTGGCACCTTCTTCTCATGAGGCCACTAATCCCTTCCCCGGGTTCCCAGCCTAGGGACCCCAGGGGGACACA